AGCAAAATTGGAAAACATAAGGAAAGCCATAAAAAGACTCACAAGGCATGTCTAAGTGACTCAAATTAGCTTGGAGTTGTTTGAAAATCGAATCAAGTAATTAAATTGATGCAGAAAAAAATTGAGGGTGTTGAAAAAATGAAAGACAAATATTTCATTGTTGAATTTAGTAAAACATATTTTTTAAAAATAATATTTTCACATACTTAGAATTTTCTTACGACTGTAATAATAATTAATAGAAAAATGGAACTGATGAAAATGAGAGTATTATAATGTTTTTTCTATAATTTCAAAAATATTGTAATAAAATAATAATATGAGAGAAACATAAAAATAACATTATATTTAATACGAGCCAAATTCTTTAAAATACTTTTCCGCGTTCCCTCTATATAGTCCTAATGTACCCACATGAAAATTTCATTTCGAGGAATACACTAAATTGGAAAGGTGTCATATTGTTACTGAAAATAAATTCAGTTTCCATATATGTAACATAAATATAATTATTTACAAATTTAATGAAAATAGAAATAGAAAAATAGAATAAAAATAATTTGCAATTAGAGTTATATTAATTAAATTTACATAAAAATATAATTATTTAAATTCATAATATCACTATTTGAATATTAAAATTTATGGAATTATGGAATTTTATTTATAAAGTAGCAACAGAAAAATATTTTTATAGAAATGTAAATAGTTCGTATATATAAAGACAGATGATTACCGTATTGGTTATTATAATCAAGAGAATGTAGACAAAGCATTGATCATATTTTTGTTTTAAAAAATTGTCAGAAATATAGTAATTATTTTTTGGAAGTAATTGCATAGAAAATATTATTCCAGCTTATTTGAATCTGAATTATTTATTAAGAAATTGCAATATATACAAAAATTAGATTTCAAACATTGTGAATTTTTCCTTAAACAATGTACAAATTTAAAGGTGAATTGTGCAAAATTTTAGACAAAGATTAAAATTTTCTTAATTATTGAGCATTAAAAATTTTGGAGCAAAATTAGAATCAATATACGTTAAAGCAAATTGGAAATGGTTAATAATATTAATTAGATTTTTTAATAATTCTTTGCAAATTGCCATTGCATTCTCCATACGCCACCAGATGGTTCCGTGAGGAAGATGAAGAATTTTTTTTTGTTTTATATTTGAAAAGAAAAAAAAAATCATTACACAAGAGTAATGAATTTATTTCGAAGTCGTTTTTAGTTGAACTTATCTAAGCAAATGGAAGTGAATCCAAAGTAAATACTGAATCGAAGGGATTTACGTGATAAATTATCCGCTCTTTGGTAAACCATATTTTTTGTTTTTTGGCCTGACGTTAACACAAACAAAACGGATGGTACCCCAACTGGTAAACACGCAACGTATAACTGCTCATGTGGAAAACAATGATTTTCTAAATTTATCCCGCTAACCCCAAGCGATTGGCCTTGTGGCTTGTTAATTGCCATTGCGAACTGGAAATTGCAATCATTTGAAGTCAAACGGAAGACCAGTCGGAGTCATTGGTATTCGAGGAATTACATACATTTTCACCAGCGTACTTTCCGTTAATAATGGTTGTCTCAATCAAATTCGGCATAAGACAAATTCTTTTTACCGAAAGTCGAGTACGGTTGCAAAGTTGCGGTGGATTCAAATTACGCAATATCATAATAACAGTACCAACTCTGAGTTGCAAGTTATGCGGTGAAAATCCTGGTAACTCCAGAGAGTTCAAAAACTCCGTTGGATAATTTACTACATCATCGGGATTTGTTATGGAATCAATGATTTTGTATGTCACTAAATCGCCAGCAATTTTTGATTGAATGGTGAAATTCATTGCGTGTACATCATTATTCTTTGCGGCAAGAATTGCTCGTTGACTTTACCGAGCATAATTCTGATAATTCTCACTAATGTTTGAAAATCACATTTTCAATAAGGGATAATTGAGAGTCTACAAATCGGCAAAAGTTGTTGGTAATAGTAATTAATCAAAGTAGCTGTCAAACAATGTATCTACCTGCGCCATCTACTTAAAATATTGGTTTGCAGAACATGCTAAGTATCAAAGATGACGCTGCATGTGAATAACAATTTTTTCGCTTTTCTCGATTTTTTTCTTCAATTTTCCTTGTCATAAACCTCACGGAGCCCGAGACCTTTCCTACGAATGTAAAATCGTCGAAATCTACGAAAATTAATTTTAATAAAATAAGGTTTCATGCTTATTAATTTAGTCATAAGCATGCTCTTTAAATGTGAGTATGCAATTTATAATAAATTTGATCGAAATACATTCATTTATGATACCATAAAATTGTTCGAAAGCAATTATTTTGTCAAAACAAGCAAAAAGTTTTTTTGAAACATTTAAATCGAATGCATAATTCTCTCAAAAACTGCTATTTTTTGCACAATTAGCTCGGTATCTCCAAAACGGCTGGACTTGCGTTTGCCAAAAACTGAACACCACTTCTCCCAATCATAACAAATTGAATGCTTTTTGTATCATTCGAATTGTATTTTGATTTCTATTTATGCACTCTTTGCTCCGTATCTCCGTAACGGCTGGACCTGTCTTTGCCAAAAAGCACATTTCTTTATCAATAAGAATCGAATGTTTTTCGAATCATTCAAATCGGTTGATCCGTGCGTCCGAAAACGTGAACGAAAAATTGCGGACACACAAAACACACACACACACATCCATTTTTTCTGAGGTATGCCAAAATGTTCAGAAACCTTCAAAACGTGGAGAAATGTAAAAATTTTCATTTTCGATTTTCGGTCCATTACTATAACTACACTACGGGAAGTAAAAAGTCCACTAGTATACAAAAAATAAATGCTATATGAAAATTTAATCTAAAAGGGAGAATATATTTTTACACAGTGTTACAAGTAATATGAAAACCACTTAGCTGTGTGAGTTTGCAGAACAGAATTTTTATGCATTTTATTGTGAATCGTTAATTGTCAGATTACAAATTTTTCATCATATATTTTTTATCAGTATCTTTAAATGTAAAATGTTATGACCACGTGTAATATGTTATGACTAGAATAAACTTTACGTAGATAAAGCAATTGAAGAAAATAGCTGTTCAAATATACCAATAATTGAGGATAATCCAAATTTAAAAGAAGGATAGTTATCAATATACCAGTTATAATAAGAAGACACAAAAAAATTGGTCTTATGCACCTGCCTTATTGTTAATTAAAAAATTACTTTTTAGAGTAATTTTTATTCGTTTTTCTAATTATATTAACATTGTTTTAATCTTATTATATAACTTATGAAAGTGAATTGGTTTTGTATGCCTGTTATTTACAACGTGTGTTTCCGATCTTCAACTTGCAGATAGGTTGAAGAAAACACTGAGCGCGCAGTGCTGTGGGATCAGAGTAGACTTGACATCCGATCCGACCAAAACAAAAAAAATGACATGTTTTTTTGAATACATAAGGATTCCTATAAGCTAAATTGACAATATTTGAGAGCGATGTCTCAGAAGAATTCCAGTGTGATTTTCTTAGTTTAACAATTGAAAAGATAATGTTATATTGAAGCTAATCTAAGACTAAATCTAAACCGTATTAAAATCTGAATACCGGTATTCGATATTTGAAATTTGTAATACCGGGATCCCGGTATTAATACCGGTATTATCAATGAAAATTTTACTAGTCATATTTTTAGTTACTGCAGTTGTTTTATTGACATATTAACATTATTATTGTTTTAAAATGAGTACATATTAATCATTTCATCACATAGATAATAAGAGTAGATAGATACAAGAAAAAACTTGCAAGTAAACAATTATATATTAACTACTATGTTACACTTTACATATAATAGGCTCGTATGGAATTATATATTTAATAACTTATATTTCGTTTATTAAAATATGTTTCTAAAAATTATAAACAATCAATTGCTTAATCTTCAAGCGAGAATTTCCGTACAAATATAACACGCCGAAAAAGCCTTTCCTCATGCTACACTTGTCGGCACAATTGTCATACAATTGTGTACAAGAAATAATACGAGTACATGATTAGTCGATATGAATTAGTACTTAGTATAGTGTATTTAGTTTATAAACAAATCATAAATAGATATCAACACTTCACAAAGGCTTATAGAAAATTATTGTATTTACTGATTGCCTATAATAAATAAATAAAATTATTCTATATGAACGATTTCTAAGAATCTGCAACGAGACCAATATTATCATTGATTATTATCAAACTATTTATCACTCAATGATTTGACTTGTAAATTTTTATAAGTTATAAAAAATAATGAATACGATAATACAAATGATTGAAAGGAAGATATACAATATAGAGTATTATAACGTGTCGACTGTATATTTTGTTTAAAATATCATTGATAACGAATTAGATATAAGGACAATGCACGTGGACGACTAATACTTTGTATAAATGGGTTCCATTCATTAGATCGTATATAATATATAAACAATCGCTTTATCTTGCCTGCATCGACAAGATGTGTCATACTGGACTGAGCCGAGTCGGCAATACACAAATAAAGTGTAAAACTCGTGTATGTGTATTGTATAAGTTAAATTTTTAACAAAATTTTCGTAATCCCGAAATACCGGTAATTTTAGTATCAATACCGGTATTGAATACCGGACAAAAATCGTCCGGGATCCCGGTATTCGGGTATTGTAAGCCCTAATGTCGCCTATTGATGGGTTTGAATGTGATTCCAGTTTACGTTTGTATTTTTCCAAATTCTTTGAATGTTAATTGCACTGTTTTCATGTTGAGATCGCTGTGTATGGTTTCATGTGAAAATAATATATATTTTTGCAAACAAATATTTTGTAATACATTTTTGTAAAGTTGGAAATTATTAATTACAAATTAACCCATTTTCACAAAGAAGTGACGTTGTGCTATGGACCACCTAATTCTTATTTCATATTTTCAGATGCTCCTGTGGTCGACTTAAAAATGGGTGCCGGATTAGATCCCAATGATATAAAAGAAGGTGATGATGTGTACTTCGAGTGCGAGGTGCGAGCTAATCCACCTGTATATCGCTTAGCCTGGTACCATGATGTAAGTAAAATAGAGAGTAATCATATGCAACTAAATTCAAAACACTCAATTGTATGAAATTTATGGAATGTCCACTATATCCTTAAGCAATATTAAAAAAGCCAACCGAAGTGAACTACAAAAAATACCTGCCATTGTTTAGAGACAATTCATGGACGCTTAACATAGTTTCAAAATAGAACCCAAATATTATTTCATTGTTTCGTACAGAATTTAAAAGTCCTCAAAAGCTTTTGACCTTGTTAACTTAATACTTCGTCCGTTTTACAGATGGCAACCCAAACAGTTGTCTCATCTCTGTGTGATACACAGCATTATTACAATTTTTGTAATGGGCGAATATAATATTGATGCAGCAATACCGAATAAGTGATAAAAATATATTGCTTATCTGTATTTTTAAGTAAAAACCTATGTTACTACTGCTTGACATCAGGTTCCTCGTAGCGGGATTGAATCCGGGAGCTCTGATTCATTATCCACCCAATCAATTATTAAAATTTAAAATGCCATACTAATTTACACTGTAAATAATTTGGAAAAAAAGTTTAGTAAAACGTGGTATATTGATTATTTAAAAAAAGAGTGATAATCGAAAATAAATGATCTAGATTGTGAAAATATGACTTCTAAGGCTAATTGCAATAATGAGTAAATAATAAATAAATTACTTAAATTAAATTGAAATTTTAATAAAATTTCGGATTTTTAATCACTAAAATTATCAAGATATTTTATAAAAATCTATTAAAAAAATATAATTTAATAAAATAATTTATTGTTGGCAGTAAATGTGATATATTGTAAACATTCAGCGATTTACAAGACAAATTGTAGATTTTTAGTAATTCTAAGAAAATTTATTTTTTTTATAATTCCTAATATTTTAAAACTTTGGAAGTTAAAATAATGAAGAAAAATTATATATCAAATTATCATGTTTTTATATATGTTTGAACAACCAATAATGATAAAAAAAGAAAAATTCTAGATTCCGTTCTGCGAAACAAAGAGCAAAATGAAATATTTAATCAATAATTTTAATGAAATTAAAGACTATAAGAAATAATATAATAAGACTGATATAAGCGATATAAGAAAAGAATGACAAATAGTTAGGAGCTTAAATAGTAATACCATACCAAATAAAGCAAGTAATACTTAATAATAATGAGTAAAACAAATAAAAACTAAGAAATACTTAAATATCGCATACTTTTTTATCAAGCGAAAAGTTTTTCATCAATATGTATCGAATGTTATTAACTTCAACTTAAGAATTATTTTTACATATTCACAAAGTTGATGTGCTTTTTGCATTTTTTCCATGAGTACAATTTTTACAATGATAACATTGTATATAACTTTGATCTGGTATTTCGTCAGAAATATTTGTCAAGGAAGTTGTTAGCTCTTCTAGAAATTCTTGTTGAACTCAAGCGGGTGTTCTAGTATAAAGATATGAATTTTAGTTTACTATTAATTATTGTAAACAAGAGGCGATCGAAACTTTTTACTATCATTTTTTATATAATTTATTTATCAATGTGCCCAGAGTAAATTTAACAAAATTTTAAAAACAAAAAAATAATTTTACAAATTAGGTGTTGAAGCGGGTGTTCCAAAAATTGTCACGTGATCATGCGAACCATTATCATTGCAGCTTCCTAGTAATCCGAAATAAAAAAATGTAACTATATTTTCTACATTGTAAAGTCACAATGACATATACTAGGATTAAGTTAGGTAAAAATGTTTTGATAAAATGGCGTCTTTTTGAAGTAAGTAATAATTTTTTCTGCACACTTTTTGAGAATGAGTCTAATAAATGGCAGAGAAAAGTCAACAAAGGAGCTTTTGTATACAGTTTAGATGATTCCAGTAACAATAGTGAGCTTCGTCTTGAAAAAGAACGTTTTGAAGAACAAGCGTTTAAAATTTCGCAAAAGAAAATTATCAGAAGAGGATTATCAAGGTCAAAAGGCTGTATTTACGAAAATAATTTTGATTGTAATTCGTACACATTCTTCAATAACTATGAAAATAAAAAAAAAACAAACCACAACTTTTTTTTTAATTATACACTAGAATTTACTTATAATTTACTTTAGAATAATTAGTACTTACATATATTTGTACTTTAGTAAAGTACTCATATATATGGCAAGGTAAAGATCATTCGTTTTTAAATCCACGTGTAAACTTTTTTATACAAAAAACTGTTGAATCTGTAACTTTTATGGAGAATCTAAAAATGTTGAATCTTATATAAAATCTAAAAACGTATATTTAATATGATTTCATCGTAAAAAAAGCACATTTTTAAAAAGCATATTTTTAAAAAAGGTAAAATTATGAATAATTAAAATTATTTCCGATGTAAGAAGGCCATTCAAAAAAGGGCATATAAAAATAGTGTAATACATGACATTGAAAATATGTGATAACATATTTCCTACTAATGAGATAATGCTTCAATTTTTAAAATATTTACGGAAAATATATTTTTATATGTGAAAATGCAACTGGCAATGATAAAATAATGTTTATTTCTTTTGTGATAATAACGTTTACAATTAATAATAAAATAAATTTTCTTGTATATTTCCATTCTGATAACGATAATTATATATTGAAACAGATCAGCAGATTCGCCTTTCGGAAGTAAACCTAAAAAAATGTTATTTTGGTTAAAATTTGTTAGTATTAATGCTTGAAAGTATTCGTGTATATATACTCGTATATACATTATTGCAGAACTTTAAAAATTCTAAGAAAAATCTAAGAAATTCAATACACATAAATCAATTTATATAGGAAAATAGATTTTTTGCTTAATAAGTAGTAACTCCTAACAACTAATTAAAAAAATGTAATATAAGTTTCATACTTGTTACCTAGTAAGTTGAAATATAAATATGTTTAAAAAACAGATATAAAAACGCAAAAGCCGGGCAAAGTCTAAAACTTTAGAAATCGTTATATTATGATTTAGTTTACCTCAAAATGATATAAATTATAAATAAATTTTTAAAACACGTCTATTCACAGTTTTATGTCAATTTTTGCCGAACATGAACTTGGATTTCATTATTACTATAAACGAACTAGATAAATCGTGCTATTTTTTAAATTTTAGTATAACGGTTGTATATGCAACGAAATAAAATAAAAACTGTATACAAGAATGATTTTAAACATATAACATACATTTAACTATAAATTTTATTTCATAAAAATATGACGAAAACAAAATCTTGTTTTCTATGTTCAAATTGATCTCTATTTCGAGATTAGCTGTAAAAATATTTATTTAGCATAAATTTTTAGCGTTGCATATGACTAAATAAGAAAAACGCATTAAATTATATTGAATATAAAAAGACGCGTTGAATTTAAAATAAAAAACATATCTACATTGAGTGTGTAAAATTTCGTTTCAATCTAATATGTAAGTTTTTGATTATCTTGTATCCACCTAGTATGAAAATAGACATATTAACACGTGGAAAAAATTAATTTAATTCACTATATTAAATTGTTTTTTCTTTTCATTGTCAGGGTACAGAATTACGACATGATTCGGGTGCCAGGGTCATCATTAGTGCCAACTCTCTGGCTTTGCAAAAAGTAACCAGATATTGGACAGGCGATATTACTTGTTTGGCAGCCAACACACAAGGCCGAACATCCAGTGCTCAACTTTCACTAAGAGTTCGATGTAAGTAGAATATTCATATACGATTTATTTACTGTTAAATACATTATTAAACACTTTCAAAGTATGATACGGGACTTAAGAGAAATGCGCTGGCGGTGGAAGTTTGTAATATTGTGTAACCTTTCGACAAAGTGTTACGGATATGTAAAAATAACATGGTTGAAATTTGGAATATATGCAGCGTCTCTGAAAGACCATGAAGAATTTATATGAAAATTAATATTTCAAAAACAAATTTTTGATTAAGAAGTATTCAAATATCATCAAAAAGAATGTATTCAGTTAAATAACAAAATATGTTACTCGATATTATTGGAAAAAAAGTTTCAATCGTACATTTTAAATCAACAATTGATACTGAACTAGATATAATAATTTTTATTTGTCTGTGCAAGATTCTTCTTTAAGTCACTAAAAAATACAAATTGAAATGAGTGTTGGGCTTAGTAATAATGACAAAGGAGTAGTGAATAAAGTTTAACGAAAGTTAATAAAAATTTCTATTTGATGTTATTTAAAGATCAAGTAAAAATTCCTTTCAACTGGCATTGTTAGAAAATCGTTATTATATGCATTTAATGTAATTTAAAATTTAGCTAATTGTGAAAATGTAAGATTCTTCTTTCATCTATGCATATAATAAATGTGTTACGTCCCACAGAATTAGAATCTATTTGGTCAATTCAAACATATTAAAAATATAAAAGCCAAGTGAGAAATTTCCCTTTGAACATAGTTTACAGAGCTAGATTAAAAACGCAACAGTATATTTTAGGTATATGATATATAATTTCGTATTTATTAATGATGACAAAATAAGAAAGATTTGTAACATGTACTGTATCATCAAAATATAATTAGCTTTATTAACTTCCCGTAGGGCAAGTTATTGTAATCGTCCAAAAATCGAATTTGAAACTTTTTACATTTCTTGACGTTTTGAAGGTTTCTGAACATTTTGGCATACCTCAGAAAAAATGGATGTATGTGTGTGTGTATGTATGTACGAATACAATTTCTCGTCCACGTTTTCGGGCGCACGGATCGACCGATTTGAATGGTTCAAAAACATTCGATTTCTATTGATAGGGATATGTGCTGATTAGTTTTTGGCAAAGGCAGGTCCAGCCGTATCGGATAAACGCAGCAAAGAGTGCAGAAAATAGAAATCGAGTTTTTGAGAGATCGGAGTATCCGATTTGAATGATCAAAAAACATTTAATTCGCAATGACGGGGAGAAGGGGTGATTAGTTTTTGGCAAAGGCAGGTACAGCGCTTTCGGAGATACAAAGCTAAATGTGTAAAAAATGGCAGTTTTTGAAAGAACTAAGCGTCCGATTTGAATGATTCAAAGAATTTTGTGCTTGTTCTATCAAAATAATTGCTCTTGAAAAAAAATGTTTCAATTTTTTTTCAATTTTTTTTTTCAAGAAATATTTTTATTGTATATAGAAAATAATTCTGATTTTAATTGTAATTTTGATTAAAGTTCTAGTATAATTTAAACAAATATTTTCAACTATGCAATTGAGTTTATATAATTCTTATAAATATTAGACAATGTTACAGTATTTATTTATAATAATCTATTTGAAAACATTTAATATTCCACGAACATTTTGTTACGGTATGGAAAGTTCCAGCAATTTGCCTTAAAGCACGATGCCATACACACCACTAGTTTATTGATTTAATCGATTATTTACATATATTGGGGTTCATGTAACTTGCCTCAAGGTAAAATACAAATACCAACTAGTTAATCCTGAGGAGCGCCACGATTCTAATATTAAAATTAAATTGAGTACTTGAATATTATGAATTCTAGAAAAATATCTAGGTAAATATGATCAACAGTTAAAAAAAATATATATGTATATTTATAACATATATCACGTACGTTGCTTCTGAGTAAACGTGGCTACAAAAACGAACTTACGGAGCCTACACAGACTATACAAAACGAAGCATTATGACAAGTACTGAACGAATACAGGAACTCACTGACGAAACAGTTCTACAGAATATACTCGTATATTAATAAATATACGACAGGCTAAATAATATCCATTAAATGCATCATATCATCAGCTATTATATATTATTTATCAGCTATTATATATTTGTCTGAATCATAAGTCCATTATATTTCACATAGATTGCTATAATAAATACAACAAAATATATACTTCAACATTAAACCTATAACACCGCCAATAATAAAATTTTCAAAATTTGGGGTACAAGTTAAAACTACGTAGGCAACGCGCAACTAAAAATAAAAACAAATTGCGATCAAGACAACGGAAAAATAAAAATAAGTTTGATCGAAGCAGTAATAAGACATATGGGACGATATATAATTTCCTCACATTTTTGTGGATATCGCCTTCGAATAAAATATCTTTTATATGATTTTTATATGATTTTGTAATTTCATTTATAACTACAATTTAAAAAAAAAATATTTTAAATTCTCAAAAAGAAGCACACATGTAATAACATACCACGTGAATTTAAATGAATATTTTTGTTTATCAATATTTTTCATCATTTTTAACTTCCCGTAGGGTAAGTTATTGTAATGGGCCGAAAATCGGAATTGAAAATTTTTACATTTCTCGACGTTTTGAAGGTTTCTGAACGTTTTGGCATACCTCAGAAAAAATGGATGTGTGTGTGTGTATATGTGTGTGTGTGTGTATGTATGTATGGATACAAATTTCCAGTCACGTTTTAGGGCGCACGGATCAACCGATTTGAATGGTTCAAAAAACATTCGATTCCTATTGATAGGGAAAAGAGCTGATTAGTTTTTGGCAAAGGCAGGTCCAGCCGTTTCGGAGATACGGAGCAAAGAGTGCAGAAAATAGAAATCGAATTTTTGAGAGAACGGAGTATCCGATTTGAATCATCTAAAAAACATTCAATTAGTAATGATAGGGAGAAGTGTTTATTAGTTTTTGGAAAAGGCAGGCCCAGCCATTTTGAAGATACGGAGCTAAATATGTAAAAAATGGCAGTTTTTGAGAGAACTAAGCGTCCGATTTAAATGATTCAAAGAACTTTATGCTTGTCTTAACAAAATAATTGATTTTGAAAAAAAAAATTTTGTTTCAACTTTTTTTTTTTTTTTTTAGTTTTTTGTATATCGAAAATATTTCAGATTTTATTTTTAATTCTGACTATTAGTTCTAATATACTATTTCTATTTATAATAATCTGTTTGAAAATATTCAGTATTCCTCGAACATTTCGTTACGGTACGGGAAGTTCCAGCAATTTGCCTTAAGGCACGATGCCATAATTGCCTCAAGACAGAATTCCACTTACAGCTAGTTTTTTTTTGCTTCAGCATTTTTTGCCGGATATACATATTTTTCATATGTTTTATTGATTTCTATTTAATAATATACAATGTATTGTATGAACAGTGTAAAAATTCAATTGTAAGAACGATTTTATACATTCTAAGGCATGAAAATGGGTTCAAATAGGTTATGGTTATTTGCTGTTTGAACGTATAATATAAAAAATAAAGCCAAAATATAATCATATTTGCTAAATTCAAGTGATTCGATTCAAACATTCGATTTAATTCAATTGAGTGAACTCGGTTTCTTTTCTTGTTTAACTGATATTTTTTATTTTTTCTAGTATGTAACAATAGCAAATAAAAGAAATTGCCAAGTAAGTTACAAGGTCAACTTGAAAAGTTTCGTTAGAAGTGTTATACCAAAGTTAATTTTCAATATTTAGAATGATTATCAAAATTGTTTACATAATATATATTACTAAAAGTATACGAGTAAATCTACGACCGAAATTAGTCAGGATTAGTGTTATGGTATTTTTAGGATTTCAGGTCAAAATTTAAATTTCGACAAATTGACGGGATCCTAGTCTTAACTAGCTTTTCTAAAAAGCTTGAAACACATGTTTGGAACCATCGAAAAAATAGTATTTTTCAGAATTTTTCAATAATTGAGAAAGGGAAAGACTTTTTAAGCAAAATTTAAATATTTTTAATGTTTTGAATTATTTTTAATTTTTTTATCTTTTTCCAAAACATTGATATAGACGGAAGGAATATCAAAGTGCGTAATCGCCACGTCGCAGTCTAAGGGGTAAATCATTGACACGGAACCCATATAAATGTAAACAATATTGGTTATTAATAGAATATATCTAATAATTATTGTGGCCAAATAGCTTTTTTACTTATTTTATTGGATCTTCAAAACCACTAGGCCAACTTTGTCAAAAAAACTCAGTGATTCAATTCGTCAATACAAATAGAATGTCTTTATTTATATATATCCGGTCTGTCAAAAATTGAATTATCATTTTTGGCACCATTGTCCCATAACTTTGCCAAAAACTACTCAGTACGTTTCTCCCCATCAATACAAATCGATTTTTTTTAAATTATTCAACTCGGTTAATCCGTGCTTCCAAAATCGTCGATAAAAATTTGTGTCCGCCCATACATACTTCCATACTTACACGCATGCACATACACAATCTTTCCAAGGTATGCCCAAAATGCGCAGAAACCTTTGACATGTAAATATATATAAAAAATTTCATTTTCAATTTTTTATGATTACTATAATTTACTCTAAGAAAAGTTAATAATAAACACTTTGAATTTTTCAGTTGCTCCGTTATGCCGAGCTAGTGTTGGAGGCCTGATTGGTGCCTCTCGGCACGAGGCGATCGCCCTGACGTGCGAGGTTGAATCGGATCCGGCGCCTCGTTCCTTCCGCTGGACGTTCAATAATTCGGGCGAGCAGAGGCCGCTCATCACGCCCGCACAGCAGAACGAGCACGGGCCGGTCAGCGTGCTGCGATACACGCCCGAGAGCGACCTCGACTACGGAGCGGTCAACTGCTGGGCGGAGAACGCCGTCGGTAGACAGCGAACGCCGTGCGTTTTTCATCTGGTGCCCGCGGGTAAGTTGAAGAAGGATTTACGATGTGGAAGATAGATGTGCTTATGCAAGTTATTACGGTGTTTGCCTGAAAGCAGCGGCCGAATGACGCATCAAACCTTCTTTGGAGCTTATATAAAAATATCATGTAAGTTACTGGAAGATTTTATCATAAACGGTTAAGAGACTTGATTCAGAGATCTCGGGTTCGAGAGTCGCTTCGAGCTGCTTGTTGTCAAGAAGTAGTGACAAAGGTTTTTACTTGGAAATATAGAAGGCAATATGTTTCCTAGTGAAAATAGACCTTGCCCGCCATTGCTGCACCAATAAAGTAAATTTAATGAAAAGTTTTGAAATAACATTTTTCAGAATAATGATTTATCTGGTTTGAAATTTAGTCGTAGGAAATACTGGGTTCGGCGGTGCCAATGCTTTTTTGATCAGCAATAATTATCTTCTTATATATAAAAATGGATCGCAAAATGTGTTGGTAAGCGCATAACTCAACAACGCCTGGACCAATTTAGCCAATTCTTTTTTCAAAATATTTGCTGAAATCCAAGGATGGTTCTTACGGCGAAAAAAAATCGAATAACTGCTGGAAAAACCCTAAAAACAGCTTTTTTCTTTTTCACATACAAACGTTTTCTAACTAAAACATAGAATCAATTTGAGCTTTATTGTTATTATATAAAGTTCATATTAAATTACAGACACTCACTGTATACTCCTCCTAAACGATTATTTGGATTTTGATAAATTTTTCTGAAGTTTGTTAAGGAAATTTTCTAGGATGTATGTGATTATAAAGTACTGAAATGTATGCGCAATATTGTAGAAATAAATGGGAAAAAATGCAAAAAATGACATGTCATTGTTTGCATTGAAAACAAATGAAAACTGTCATCTGCCAAAACTTTCAATTTACTTATGAACCTAGACAATGTTAGAATATGTATAATAAATTTATGATTATTATGCCAAAAAACAGCTGAGATGTGAAATAATATAAGATATGGTATATGATGGTAAATTGAATGATATACATATGAACAGGATATGACAAATTAATTCACTTAAAATATGAAATCAAGTATTAATCAGGGCCGGTCCTACCTTTAATGCTATGCATGCAAAAAATACGAGTGCACGCCATAGGGGGCGCCATTCAGATATTAAATTTCCAATATAGTTATTTTTTTAATATATAATTTCTTTGCATCTTTTACTAATCTTTCCACAATACTGTTAAAAATCGTAAAAAATTCACTTTATAACAACAAATGAAGTGACACAAGTGAAGATGACATACAATACATACAATTCGGCGCACACGATATCGATTAGGAGAAGTTTAAGATGCAATTTTGGATATCTTAAATAATATAAAATTAAATTAATTTTATCCAACATGAAGTACTAGTGTTATGTTATGGTTATGGTCACGTTATACCGTTTAAAAGACTTCAATTTCAAATATATGAAACTCATTTTATTTAAAGCAGTTCTAAATTTTACATATTATAAATGTATATGCATTTTGGCGTGAAGATTAATTTAAAAAACAATTATTATTATTTTTAGGTAAACGGTATTTATTAGTATATTATATTTAAAAATTGTAGACATAGGTAAAGGACAACATCTGTCGGGTCATCTAGTGTTAAATAAATATCCAGTAACATGAAGTGTTGTTTTTGTGTAAATACTCATATGCAATTATTGAATACGATAGATTAGTAATAAAATCAAATTACTCGAAAACCATCCTGGGGATATACATAAGTTAAAAAAACAATAGCTTTATATAATGTCATTAGTTTTTGGTGAAATAAGTATTAAGTCCAGTATTGATTTTAATCATGCTTTTATAAAAGCAATCGGACTTATATCTTGTTCCGTACACCAAATTTCAAAGGTCAAAGTGCCTTTTAGCATACTTCTCTTTTCAAACCCCGGGTTGGAGTTGATAATGAGAAGGAAGTAGGCACCAGTTATAGAGTGCTTTCCTTTGTCAAAACTGTAAAGTTTTTTATTATGTACAATTTGAATAAACTTTAAAATCAGTGCGGAAAATCTTTCAGAGAGCAAAATAATTTTCGGGCAGGCGCTTGAAAAAAAAATTCAAGATGTTGGCAAGATATCATAAGATGGATGTTCAGACAAGTACTGCGCTAAAAAATAAATATGATGCTCTCTCGGACCGGACAGATATTGTGACTAGAAGGGTTGATGCTACCTTTCTGGGGTATATGCAACGCCTACCAAATATTACATCATAGCGTTGCATTCCCATTAAGAAAGGGTTACACCAACTCCTTAACCCGACTTCTATAACCACCCTGTAATTACCTGTGGAAAAGCTAACTAACTACGCGAATGAAAGAGAATGTACTTCTATCTTATTTAATTATTACAAATTATTATTACAAATTTGAGGGCATGACTGTGCCTACGCACAACAATGTTCTATACTTAAACTCTAACGTACTGAGTGATTATTATTAATTACTATACTAACTGAGCATAGTATAACGGAGTATCGGAATATACTACGCGGATAACAGATTATACTAACTGATAACTGATAACGATAACGACGGAGACGGAGGGAATAGCCTTATAAAACAATATTACATCTGACCTTTGCTGGAACAGGTTCTCCTCTCCTGGCACAACACACACACCACTATACACGAAGCGGGTCCAGCGCCTGGCGCGTGGACCCACTAACCTCCTCAGAGGATGATACAATTCTTAATGCTCATTTTCAACCCCAGACTGGACCTTATATTGGCATCCCTAGTAGGCGTAGGTGGGGGAGTCCCATTGCACTGGTGGTTATGCAACCCTTTTGACGACAATACCAATTGTCGTTATAATATGGATACCGATAGGGAGAGTAAGAATTACAGGAAGGTGACATGCCGAAAGAGGGAGAAAAAAAACAAGATACCTGAGAAAACCACTATTAGGCTGAACCATCTACCTCAGGCGTCCAAACCGTGTCACCCAAGAACACCATCACAAAAGAGGCAAAAATCCCACCGATAATCATCAAAAGTCAAATCGATTTTAAAAATAATTAAATATCTACGAGAAACATCTAAAATTAATTACTAACTAATTACTAACCGCTAAAGAATATGAGAAAATCAAAGAACTTCTAAGGGACAATTATCAATTTTATACCTCCACAATCAAAAAAAAATACCAAAGAAAATATCCGTAACCGGTCTATATCCATCCATTGCAGAGGTAGAAGTCCATGAAAATCTTTTGTTGAAAGGGATCGAAGTCAGACAAGTAGTACAAATAGAGCGGAAAATCTCGGATGGTGGTCAACATAAGTTGCCTATATACATTTTTCTCCTCGATAAAGACCAGAATATGACGGAGCTAAGGTTGATAACTAACATTGGTGGACACATCTCTTCCCGGGTAACCTATAGACCTCAGAACAGGGCGTTGCAGTGCCACAAATGCCATAACTTCGGCCATACGTCGTACACTTGCGATCTAAAGTACAGGTGTATAAAGTGCCTCAATGTGCACGCACCTGATGCGTGTCAGAAACTGCCAACTGAGACACCAATGTGTGTGAACTGCAAGAAGTACATCAAATGCTAAAAGAAGTTTTAGAATACCATCCTTTCGTGCAAATATTTATGAGCTATAGGCATCCCTATTAATCTCAGTTATCATGTGAGCCAAATTAATTTAAAGCTTGTTTTCAACTATGAAGAAGAACTCATTTTAGATTTTTATCGGTTCTAGTTTACATTAGTGATTAAAATTATAAGTTACGGAGTTACATTGATCTGGAGTTAATAGACTATTTCATCTAAGATATATTTGATAAAACAGAACAGCGTCAAAAAAGAATGGCAGTTGTAAAATACTTTGCTTACTAAAATCATGCTATATCATGCTTACTAAAATTGTCAAAAATATCTTTATATTATTAATAAATGATTCAAAAGTAATAGTCAAGTGTTTTATCAATTTTAAACATTGTACGAGTATATATTACCAAAAATATTGAACAAATAGAAGTTGATATTTGAGACAAAAATTCACGCACTTTTTGAGTAATTTATGATGGCACAAAAAATCAAGGTCTTGAATTTTACATATTCTTTCATCTAATATCAGATTATATGTCACAAAGGAGCATCACGAAAATAAACTAAATGGAAGTAGGAAAATACCAATAAACTTTGACAAAAACTAATGAAATTGCAAATAATATCTGTAAAATAGGGAACCAATATCCAAGAAAATACTTAAATTGAAGTGTGATAAGTGAAACTTAGTAAAATAACAGCGTCATTTTATTTATCTTGCCTTGGAATAAATTATATTGTTGATTTTTACACATCATCCAGTTATACATCTAAATTGAGATTATATATCACTTTTGAGCCTGGAAATGTAATCGAACTAATAATCGTTATATGTAATCGAACTAGAACTTTGACAAGCAACTAATTAAAATCCAGATAAAAACTGTAAAATGGAGAATCAATAAATGAAAAATTACTGAATTTGAAGCGTAAAATAACAGCAGCGACTTAAACAAATTAAATTAGGTTTGGATTTTTACAATTTAAACAATCATTTATCTAACTTGAGATTATATGTCAATTTTGTGATGGAAAATTGGAATGGTAGTAGAAAATTACTGATATACTTTGACAGGAATAACTTAAATAACAAATAATAACTGTAAAATGAAGAACCAATTTTTAAACAAAAAGGGAAATTGGAGATATGGAAGTATAATCATGCGAGAAATCAAAAAATCATTTAGATGAAAATGTTGGAATTAAAATTTAAAAATAATTTTAAATTTTTTCCATAAAATTTCAGCATTATGATGTTGCTTGTAACTCGTAAATATTGTTTGTGAGCAAAAAATACGTTCAAAACAGGCGAGAATAATTAATAATTGTATAGATAAGATGTTAAGTCACATTAAAGATGTATATTAACCAGCATGAACGACTCGTTTAATATCGAAATTTATAAACAAATAATTCAAATAATAATATCTTCATGTAGAAAAATATGCACTTAATTATTTTGTATTGCACATAATGTAATAAAATATATTTGAATCTTGACTTAAACGTTTGGAGTACGTATATTATGGTAAAAGAATCAGATTTTTTCAAAGAGTGTGAATGTAAATTTGGGCAAAGCAGACCTGCTGAGAGTTCAAATTATTCAAACAGTGTAAATCACATTTGTTTTTTACCCCCACGTTTTCAACATTTTTCTTTAGGCAAAATGCTGTAGACAACTTATTATTTTATTCAATCTTGAAACCATATTTCCTAAAAGTATTAATAATATATGAAAAATATTAAGCCATAAACTCATAGAATAGATAAACACAAGATGTTAATTTGTGTCTGATACATTATTTTCGCAGGGCCACCGCTGCCACCATCGAACTGCACTATGTCTAATCGTTCAGCCGATCTCGTCTTAATCGAATGTGCCGAGGGCTTCAACGGTGGCTTATCTCAGAAGTTTGTCCTAGAAGCCTTTCCAGTTGTGGGTTTATCACGAGGACTTTCTCATCCACGGGATACCAATAATAGACAGTCATCGGTTTCCGCTACGCCAGTGTTTGTCGTGAACCTGACACCTGGCGGTCCACCTGTGCGACTTAGGTTGTACGCCGTGAATACTCTAGGACGTAGCGACAGTGTCGATGTAGGTGTATTCGAGCCCAGACATGCTAGTTCAGCTGATGAACAAGGTAATTATTCAAGAACAAGTTAAAAAATTTCAATATTTGGAAATTGAAAACTTCGTTTTCAACTTATTTACTGCTTACAATCTGACGAATACTTAGTAAACAAATTCAACGTTTAGGGTAATGCACGTTGAAATAAACCTCGTAAAGCTAGTATCTGAATTCCAGACAATGTTCCTTGTTTACAGTCTAGAATCTGGACTGCTTGGTTACAACATCATACTGGCAAATTAAGTCACTGGCGGCTTCGTGATCTCCTGAATACATTTTTTTTATATTTCAGCTTAAATACGTGTTGTCCATGTTCAAAGTTACTCAGAAGTCGAGCGGTATTGTTTGTAATTAAGAACTGACAATGAACCGAATGTAGGTGTAAATTCTTTGCTAAAGTCTTTCACCAAACTATAAACTATTTTTGATAACTATAGTAGTTATGGTCTAAAAAATATAATAAATTGTATATAGTGCGCCAAAAAACAGGTATATGAGGTCAAAACTCACAAGAAAGTTTCACATCAAGAATTCATTACATATTACTAAATATGTATTTATATTCTGATTTTCACGTCAGCCTCTTTCAATGTTTTTCTTTGAGAAATTAAACGCTGTGAACGATTAGATATATGAAATGTGATATTGCGATTGCGGATTCCGTAAATAATAGAAAATGTACTGATTCGTCAAATGTTGCAACAACTCAGTTATTGCACAAAAATTAAAATATAGTACAAAACTCAAGATATTACTAAAATTGTTTATTTGTTACAAAAAATGTCCATATGTTACAAAAAATGTTCATATTTTATAAAAAATGTACAAATTAAATTAATTGTTTGATATTTTTCATAAATTATTCTGTATTATAAAATTGATTGATTTCAAAAAATCATTTGCAAATTTCTATTTTAAGAAACTAGCATAAAAATGAAATTTCAGCAGATAGGTTCTTAAGTTTTTCCTCAGTTATATAATATTCAAGCCATAATTGAAAATTCGTTCCTTGTTCATGCAAATTTGTCGTACATCAAAACGCCCACAAGCCACCGATATGCGTGGAGAGAGACCGCCGTACACGCGCAATGCTAATAATCAGAATGCATTAATTTATTATAAATCATGATAATAAGGGATATTACAACAGATGAATTATTATTATTACATCCGTAAAGCAATTAATGTTCACATTGCAGTTGGCAAAATGGCATCAATATATGTATGTTGACCCTATATGATAACCGACCGTACGCGCCCAGAGTCGGCGCACGTACGCGTACAATGAGACTATGTTTGTGTTGCTTCCAGAACATATTTGTACATGTTCGAAAACTGGCAGTCCTATATGTGGCATTTGCGATTTTGGGCAGAGCTCCCAGCGAAACTATCGAAAATATTCACAATGTGCTCCCATAACCTGAATCGATTATATGCATAATTGAATATTCGGCATTCTGCGATGCAGGACAACTTAATTGCGCTTTCAGTTATTAATTTTACTAAGGTACAAATTAACAAATTTCACGAAAATTAACTATTACTATCTGGAAATTGCAATCATGTAGATGTTATCTTATAATGAAAATCAAATTAATTTAGGAACATTAGGAACAAGAATTTTCGTAACTAATAATCAAGTTTTGTTTCTTCTTAGCCTGTTTTAAAACACAAATAAAGAGATATTTATTAATAACTTATATTTATATTTTTCTGTCGTGTACACATTTAATCACAATCTGTCACAATAGAATATTAATTCAGTACAAATAAGTAATTGTTTTGCCTTTATTATATGAACTGTTAAATGGATAGCAACCCAGTACTTGTCCACCAGTTGTGACTAAATAACCATACTCGAAGTATTTGTGGACATGTTTATTATATATATGCAGCAATACCCAGAAGTCGCTTTTCACTTGAGTTTATATTTGGGATCTATAACCTCAAGTAGAAATTTGACATCAAATGTTAAACCACTGGACCATATTTTTATCTTTCAGAATGAATTATTATGTGTCACCATTCCTGGCATTATATTTTATATTGTAGCTGCAGCTGTATATTATATGCGGATGTTTGTTTTTGTCTAAGATTGATGAGATTGGGATCGTTAATAATTTTGTGTTCCGAAAAGTTTTATTAAAGAATCATATTGTAAAATGCTTTTACTATACTATCACTAATTCATGAAATTAACTGCTATTGTATCGCAAAAAAAGAATGCACGCAAAAGTCATAAAATATCTAATTTTTTTAACACGTTAATCCCCATGTCAGTTACATACGCCTGACTCTGGGCCATGCCTGACATACGCGATTTGGTAAAAGGACTCGTCAAACACGTCAATTTTTAGTATATTTCTTAGTAAAGGTTGGCCTATCAGAAATAAAACCTGATAATTTATTCAAAATATTATAAAAATATTTGATCGCATAGAAATGTAAACAAAAATTTTTACATATTATTAAAATCTCTATAAAGTATCTGTTAATTTTAGGTGCATATGTCTAATTATCATTTTGTCCGGCAAATGGCATTTTGTTACTTTTGTCATTATACCAGCGAAATCGCTGGAAATCTTGAAAATTTAAATAGTTGTTTATTTTATCAATTTAAGTAAAATGTTTTTTGAATCATTCAAATCAAACGACCGTCCGTTATTCAAATCGGTTGATCAGTGTTCTTGAAATCGTCCATGGAAATTTAAATCCGCACATACACAAAGCCACTTGTAATCGATCATAACTTTTATTATTAATTAATAATTAATAGCTATAATCAAGAATGAAATAAGTTCCAGACAACTAGAGATTGTTGTCCATATCTAATCGATGGATAAAAATAAATATATCTGTTTAAAAAACGAAGAAAAAGAATCTATCTCAAAAGGTAATTCAACTATGCCTGAAATAATCACATTTCAAATGTTATATTAACATGGTTCATTCTTTTATCTTTTACAGTTCAGTTAAATGAAAACAACGGCTAAATAAATTTGAAATATTTTAAACACATTTTTAAAAAATGTAATAAAATAAAAATTATTATACAATTCACACTCTTCACTCATTGGTCAGATATCAAACTTTTGCGTTTTCAAAATTAAATGTATAAAACTAATCTCGTTCGGTATAAAGCAATTTTATATGAATATGTCGAATTACCATTTTTTGCATTTTAAAGATTTTAATAGCATTGGAAGCATAAAAATATGCTCAACGCAATGGCAACGCAAAGATAGTTTTGTAATAATTTTGTAATGCACTTATTTGAGAATCCAGTTGCTTACTCATCACTTTCCAAATGGGTGGGACCGTTATTATGAGTGGCTGTATTATTCCAAGTAAAAATTAGGTTAACTCAGAAGTTATACGAATATAAATTAATTGTGATATGTGCGTTAATAATATCAAAACAAGGACGAGAGTATGTATTCTAACGAAATAAGTTGGAGCAGTGCGATGTCGTGGTGGGACGGTTATAACAACTCCGAAACTATCGCGGCAGAGAATTTATTGCGGCAACATTTCAATGGGTTATTGGGTACGAATTGTGGGACAAAATAAACGAAATTGTTTTATATTACTTCTATTCTTTCTATGTTATTGTTCAGAGCTTAACTATTTCAATTAAAAAAATATTAAATAATAACGTTTTACTACAGCAGCAATTACTTTAAAACTATTTACACAACAAATCACAAGGTTTTTAATAAAAGGTTGGAGTGATTCTAGATCAACTAAGATTCGTTGATTATTAGTAATAATGAACATACATTTTATTGTATAAATGTTTATGTAAAATAATGTGTGAAAATGATCCTAAATATAATTCTGCATCAATAATATTTTTAGCGGTTTTCTAAGTCCTTAGAACTAGTCGCACTCAGCCTTTAAACTAAATTATTTAAACTTATTCAAAGCAAAATTTAAGAAAATGTAACGCAGCACGTGGATGTAAAAAAATTTGTTAATGTTCCTGAATACAATATCATAAACCGATTAAAACCTTGTCTATGCCACTGAAGTGAGTCGCAAGAGGCCATGGCGTTATTGTTTGAACTTTATAGAAATAAAATTTGAGAAAATATAACTTTTTATATTCAAATCACAAGGTTTTTAATAAAAGGTTGGAGTGATTCTAGATCAACTAAGATTCGTTGATTATTAGTAATAATGAAGAATAAGTGAAAAACAATAATAAACAATAAGTGAAGATAAAGCTTTCATCAATAATAAGCATTTAATAAAATTAAGAGTAATTTAAAAATGCTGTGCATGCGTACGACTCCACCAAACTGGCGTAAATTTAGTTTTCAGAAACTACTATAAAATATGAAAAATGATAAAAATATACTTACTAAAAATTTTCCGCAAACTAAGATTTTGTGCAAAAATAGCGTTTTTATTCAGTTAGTCAGATCACGTCGGCTTACATAGTATATAAATTATTTGTCGTGTCTAGTTATATCTGTCAAAAATATAATCATAAAACTAAATAAATGAAAAATGAATGTATTGCTGTAAGTCGTCGATTAATTAAAAAACTAGTTGGTTTGGTATTTAGCCTTGAGGCAAGTTACATGAACTTCCCGATATATTTAAATAATCGACTTAATCAATAAAAAATAAATTAATTTATGAGTCATTAAAAGTATTCCGAGTGGATTTATTACACATAATTGAAAACGAACAAACACTTAGACTCGGAGTATTTTCTAAAAGCAAATTTTCAAAAATCAATAATTTTTATAATTGAACCAGTTTTCAGGACTTTAATGGTTTATTATGTTCAAGACCAAGTACTCTATCACTATACCAAGCAAATAGTCTAATTTTAAATTTAACAAATGTCAAAAGAGCTACTCATTTTCTCAAACTTTGATGAATTTTTAAAATCAAACTATTTGTTGTAAGGCCGTAATATTTCAGTAAATTCTATAAGACCATGGTATATATCGCTAAAAAAAAATCCATAAAAATCGGCTTAAATTTTTTTTTCAACAGTTAATTACAAGAAAACGGCTCGGTAGATTTTCACCTAAAACTTAATTAGTATCATTCCCAACTAATATCTTTCGAACAGTTTTTGATTTTTTAAAATCGGTTCGGTAGGATGAGCTTAAATGTGGACGAAAAGTTTAACACTTTTTTTCAAATTACAAAGAAACGCCTTGGCAGATCGTCGCACAAAACTGACAAACGATAGTCCTCACTGAGATACATCAAATGGCTTTTAAATTTCTGAAATCGGTTCAGGCGTTTTTAAGAAAACTTCGATCAAAAGTCTAATTTTGACAAATGTCAAAAAAACGATACCAATTTTTGCAAACTTTTTTTTTTTAGTTTTTTAAGCTAAACGAGTTGTCGTAGGGCCGTAATATTTTAGTAGGACCTAGAAAACTATGGTATCTACCGTCAAAAAAAAAATCATAAAAATCGTCAATTTTTTTTTTTAAAACGTTATTACAAGAAAACGGCCCGGCCGATCTTTACCAAAAACTAATCAGCACGATTCCCAACCAATATCTATCGAATGGTTTTTGAATTTTCAGAATCGATTCAGAATTCCGGGCTAAAACGTGGATAAAAAATTTTGCACTTTTCTGCAATTTACAAAGAAACGGCCCGGCTGATCATCGCACAACATCAAATGGCTTTTAAATTTTTGAAATCGGTCCAGCCGTTTTGAAGAAAACGTCGATTTACGGCAAAAAATCTGTTCACACACACACACACACATACACACACACAAACACACACATACACACACACACATACTTTTTCCAAATTTGGTCTCAATTGATTCAGAATGGCTTGAAACGTCGAGAAAACATAAAATTAGCGAATCGGATTTTTTTATGAAAACATAAACTTCTCCTTCGGGAAGTTAATAGTTTAAAAAATATATTTTCACAACTAGCTTCATATTTTACAAAACTAACGCTACAAAAAAGCATAATTATTCTAGTAATTTATTTGCTCTACAATATTTATGTATGACTTAAGCGGGTAGAGCGGGGCACAAAGTCCGACTCTGTGTTTGAGCAATTATATTGTGAAAACCATGCCGATTATAACACAACAAACACCACATATTAAACAAACAACTCTCTGACTAAGTAAAACTCCCTGCTAAATTCATCATTGTAAAAATATGTTTTGTTCTTTTTCAAAAATTTGTCACCATGTCTTTTTTACCCCGTAGGTGCGGACCAATGACTTATTTTTAAATTAACTTAGGGAGCAAAATGATAACTACTTGATTCAACCGATGTAAAATATAAATTTCGTGGGTACATTTTTTATACAGATAACAATGTAAAAAAAAAACTTGATTTGGTATTTTGTCAGAAATATTTATGAGCGGGAGTTATAAACATAACTTAATTTACTTTCTTATTTACTATTTTTGTATTGTTTAATAAACCTTTGCCAGGGTAAAGATTCAGTTGATCCATTTTATCTCACCCCGTGTAAGCTTTTATGTAGGTGACCAAATATGATACGATGCTATATGATAAAATAAAGTTATATTAACGATTAGAATGAGCATGGATGTTAATAGACCCTGAGAAATTTAACATCTAATGAAATATGGTGTTATATATGATCAAATAAATTTATATTTAGGGTTAAAATGGTCTAATGTAGCATGGGTGTTGAAATTATTACATAATATAGGCACCGCAAATTTTGTCTTCGTATTTTATTTTACATGAACATACATTTTATTGTATAAATGTTTATGTAAAATAATGTGTGAAAATGATCCTAAATATAATTCTGCATCAATAATATTTTTAGCGGTTTTCTAAGTCCTTAGAACTAGTCGCACTCAGCCTTTAAACTAAATTATTTAAACTTATTCAAAGCAAAATTTAAGAAAATGTAACGCAGCACGTGGATGTAAAAAAATTTGTTAATGTTCCTGAATACAATATCATAAACCGATTAAAACCTTGTCTATGCCACTGAAGTGAGTCGCAAAAGGCTATGGCGTTATTGTTTGAACTTTATAGAAATAAAATTTGAGAAAATATAACTTTTTATATTTATGTAAAATAATGTGTAAATGTTCCTGAACATAATTCTGTAAACAAAATAATTTTTTGAGGTTTTCTGGGTCTCTAGAATTAGTCGCATTTAACCAAGATTTTAAACTGAAAAATTTCAACAGAAAATTTAAGGAAATATAACAGTATGTTTAGGTAAAATAATATGTAAATGTCGTAAATGTAATTCTTCAACCAATATATTTTTTGCGGTTTTCTAGGTGCCTGGAACTTGTTGCATTTAGCCATGGCGATACATTATTTAAACTTTTGTGAAATTAAACTTGAGCAAATATAACATATTATTTTTATATAAAGTAAGGTGTAAATGTTCTTGAATATAATATGGCACACAATTAAATTCATTTTTGTTAGCTGGGTCAAAAAAGCAAAATGGCGTTGTATCATAAAAATATTGTTGAAATAAAAAATAAGGCAATTTAGTTCACAAATATAAAATTATTAACGTCCGTAGGGTAAGTTATAGTAATGAAATTTATATCTTTAGGTTTTAATACCTTAGCTTAGTTTTCATATCTTAGCAAAAATGGATGTCTGTGTGTGTATGTAGTATGTATGCTTGTATGTTTGGAAACCTTTTTGTCCACAATTATATCGGTATCACGGATTTTAACTGATTCAAAAAACATTCGATTCGTATTGACGGAGAACTGAGCTAAATAGTTTTTGGCACAGGCGGGTCCAACGATTGCAGATACGGTTCAAATACCGCAAAAACAACTATACTCCAGTCAATAGACCGTTTTGTGTCTGAATTTTTTTACTGTGCTCCCATTTACATGAAATTTTGGAATTAGGTTTATCTTAATAATATCATTAAATAAAAGCAATAAAATCATTTTCATCTCCGTGAAAACCCTAAAACACTTCAAACAACCTCAAAATTGACAAAATAATCACTTAAAAATAAATTTCTATATGATATATTATGAATTACGTATAAAGTAAATAGTATTTTATGTTTTTCATCCTGATTATCAAAGTGTTACCCGTTTTTAGACCATAATAAAATGGTTTGTTAATATTTTTGGATATAATATTGCAAACAATTTAATTCCTTGTGGTTGTCTAGGTCATTCGAGTGAGTCAGAATCAGCCATGGCGGGACCCTTACTGGCTGGGTTGGTGTTGGCCGCGTCCGGAGTACTGGCCGCTTTATGCGTGGTCGCCGGAGCTCTACATGGAAAACGAAGGACGAGAGAGCAAGCCAAGCACACGAGGATACCGCAAAATGAACAAGTAGGCAATTTAACGACATATTCTAGATTCAACATTGCATAATTACTTTTTGTGAATTGGCGATTGTTTGACAATACAAATAAACAATATGTTAACATTTTTACAAAAATTAATATTTTACAAAAATTATTTATTCTGTTTAAGCATCACTTATACGTTTTGTGGGATATATATATTATTGTGTAATAGCAATCGATAATGCTGCATTCTGTAATAGCAATGCTAATATGCCAAATTCGATATCGATTGCAGTAATTATCACAATCAGCAAATACTTTAAATACGCCATCGTAAGGTGTTTGCAGTCCCACTTAAGCAGTATATAAAGAGTACTGATTGAGTTGGAAGTCAGAGTTGCTGGAATCACAAAAGAGTTGTCTTTATTACATCAGAGTTGCTGTAGGCCACAGCATAGTTGCTGTTGGCCACAGCAGAGTTGCAATATTAGTCGTGTAAAGACAATTGTTAATCATCATTGTGGGTGCTAATAAAGTATTGTTAAAAATAGTCAGTCAGTGTTATTCTTTAGAAGTGATAAGACATTTCAGCCAATATCTTAATAAGAACTCAAGGCAAATCCGAAGCCTACTATTTCTATAACCACTGCTCGGCAAGGCTGTATTGACTAGGAGGTCAATACGAACACGTTACCAACAACCCCTTACATTTCATGGTGGCAGCGGTGGGATACCTTGTAGTGAAGAATTAGTATTCGACGTTGCCTGTGAACGTGAAAACCGAGTTTTTCACACCCCGGAGGCTGCAGACTCAAGGGCGGTTCCAGCAATCCAGCGATACTAATTCGAGGAACTAAGGGTAGTACGGTGGCGGCTCTACCAACACTGAACCGTAAGCAACCCGCAACGACAGCGACTCACTCTAAGTAAGTGACAAATTTATTTTCCTTTTTCGGACATCACTCTCCCCAGGCAAAGTTAACCAATTTTTCTTTGTACAAGAAATTTGCACATCCAGGAATGACAACCAGTTCATCTAAGATTTGAAGAGAATTTTTTTAAGATGGAAATTATGTAGATGAAAATCTTGTTAGTGTAATTATTTTTATGTCAATTATATTAATTATAATGGTAGCTTGGGTTAATAATTCTATAACAGCGGCCAGTTGATTAAATAACTATTACAGCAGTTTTAACAATCACGAGCTAAAAAATAATTTTAATTTTATAGTTTTATATAGAATTCTCTGAAGGGTAAAAGAGTCATCTTCAACTAATATTCATTTCTTGAACTTCGCAAATCAGTTTAAAGTTAGTAACCCGGCTTTCGAGCGGTCTAACGCCAACACAGATGATATCGCAGTTCAGAATGATAAAATTTTCATTTAAATTAATATTTATTCCCTGCAATCGCGAATCATTTTATTTATGTTGATAAAGTTAGTAACCCGGCTTTCGAGCGGTCTAACGCCAACATCGTCGATATCGTCGATTCAGGATGATATAACTTCAAATTTGGCTATTAATGCCGTTTCTATGGCCAATGTGCCTGAAGGTCCTCTTATTACAGACTTCCACATTTCATGTATAGTTCCGGTAAACTTATTGGGAAATCTGTCAATAATTAATAAAAGAGACATAAAGGTTCTCTCATTTCAGATTTTCACATTTTTAATAGTTCCGGTAAACTTATTGGGAAATCTGTTAAAATTATTAAAAGACATAAATGGGGTAGAAAAACCCAAAAGAATAAATATAGGGTTATTAAAAACCCAAAGAATAATTATATAGGGTTATTAAAAACCCAAAAGAATAATTGTAGAATTTAAAATCCCTCATAATATTGAATTTTGTTAGTAAAGCTAACAACATGTTATTGATGACTATTTGGCTTATATAGTACCTCAGAGATCAAGTAACTTGTAAAGTGCACTAAATTGCACAATTTTCTTTCTAAATATTTTATTTTTACACCCGATGAATATACTGATTAATTTAACTTTTTAAAAAAATTATTGATAATAAAATAGTATTATTTTAAATAATCAACTGCCCGTTCTACCAACTGTTATAGAAAAGAGCGGAAAAAGTTTAAGTTCATGTCAATAATATATTACAAATCATCCCTGCAATAAAGAAAAAAAAATAGAAAAATATTTATGTTAGAATTATTGATACAAAATGATTTTCTAATTTCATGGTGTTATAGTAAATTTATTGAACGCACAACGTTTATAAACTTTAGCGGCATCTATATTAAAGTAATTTTTTCTTTAGTAAATAAATTTAAGTGTTATTCTTTCCGATTATAATAATTGCATTATTTTACTAAATCTTTGAGTAAATTCTAGTTAAATGTACGTAATTGTACATACTATTTGTATTTTTCGATTATTTGGGTTAATAGTGTTAAAGGATTCATCATATTTCTCTTTTGAAATTTAAATAAAGAAATATCATATAACGTGAACGATACAATTTCAAAACAATACTAGACTTAATTCATTTATGATTTATTTTGCGAACCTTGCGAATCTGTATGAATCTTAATCTTTATTACAAAACTTTGTTCTGTAATTATTTGAAAATTTGAGTATATTATTAATGTTCAACATATTAATACCCAATTATTATCTCATTAAATTTGAAAATTTATCTTTGATTTATTAAATTACTTTATAGTAAATTATTTCGTATTATTTAAAATTTTTAATTTTCATATATATATATATATATATATATTGATAATAATCAACTATAATTTTCAAGCGTTCAATACAGTTATAACACCAATCATTTATTACATTAAATTAAATTTATATTACATTTAAAGTTTTATACACTCACCAACAAAAATGAACTTGTAAGTGTTGTATCAATATTTCGCATTTACATAAAATACAAAAATTATTGTGTAATGATTCCAAAGTTGAATGGCCACTAATATTTTATTATTTCTAAATGTATTATTTCTAATATTGAAGTCTTTCAAAAGTTCAAAAATCAAATCAAAAAGGCCCAGGAATCTATTGTTAATGTTCAAGTATGTAGCAATTAGATCAATTAATCAAAATTCAAATTAATTATATCACATAAATTTTCCAAAAGCATCATATTTAAATACAATCTATAAACAGTTTAAATCAAAGAGGTCAAAAACCTTTTCTTTTTCGTCTACCTAATCATTTTTATGCTACATACTAGGGTTTGTCGGTTTTTAAAAACCGGTTTTAAAAACCGGTTTTTTGACGAAATTTATGAAATTCGAAAACCGATTTTTTAGTAAAAAAAAGCCGGTTTTTACTGTATAAATGAAAAATGACAAATATAGCCTAATATAAAATGCGATGCAGCGTTTTGATTCTTGGAATCATATCGGTTCAATAGCGTTTGGAATCTTATCAGTCTGCTATGGTTCCCAGAAAGGTTTTGTGTTATCTTTTGTCTAATGTATATATTAATTCTAATGTTTATACGAGTGTTTATATTAATTCAGATCAATGGACTTCTTGTTTCTTTATGTGCAGTTTATAAGTTCAGTATTCAGTGTTTAGTGCCATTGATCGATATTTGATACATATATAATACGAAATATAAGTAGTTATTTTATTATTATAAAAATATATATTATTATTTAAACTATTTATATTTTTGTATTCTAAAATGTCAGGCTGAAATGGAATTATTTAAAAAAAGTTGACAAAGAAAAAGCGCGTTGTATTTATTGCAATAAAATGCTTTCTTGCAAAGGATCAAACACAAGCAATTTACATAATCATTTGAAAACAGTACACGATAAAAAAACGAAAAAAAAATTCTCGGATGCCGGCTCGACTTTACAAACATGTACACAACCACGTATTTTTAATTTTGTGAAAAAAACTAGTTTAGAAGAAATAGTGTCAAAGCTCGCTGCATTAGAGGGACTATCAATTAATTGCATAACAAATAGCTCATTTATAAGAGAGTCATTACAAAAACGGAATTATACCACAGAATAATTCTAGGGTTATGGAACTTATTTACAACTTTTACGAATCTATAAAACATGAAACTATAAATGAAATAAACTGTATGAAAAATAAAGGACAAAAATTTTCTAAGAAATAGTGTCAAAGCTCGCTGCATTAGAGGGACTATCAATTAATTGCATAACAAATAGCTCATTTATAAGAGAGTCATTACAAAAACGGAATTATACCACAGAATAATTCTAGGGTTATGGAACTTATTTACAACTTTTACGAATCTATAAAACATGAAACTATAAATGAAATAAACTGTATGAAAAATAAAGGACAAAAATTTTCTATAACTTTAGATGAATGGACTAGTAAAGAAAATCGAAGATATTTACATATTTTTGAAATCACATTTTATCAAACAAAAAAATAATTAGAATTTTGAAAATTAATTCATTGAAACTACTCGAAATAGAAAATACTCGCGGCTTAGCTTAATTGTTTTTAAAACTAAAATTGATATTATCAAGGATGTATCTAATATTTTTTTTAATTTAATAAATGTTTTTTTTATTTTAAATTGATTCATTTATTCGAAAATTCGAAATTTTCTTTCACTATCATAGAAATATTTACATTCTTATATGTGAAAATAATGCATAAATAACGAATAATTATTTTCAAAATTATTTAATCCACATAAACTAAAAAATAAATTTATTTTCTATATAAAATTCGAAAACCGGTTAAAACCGGTTTTCTGGCAAAATTAAAATTCGAAAACCGGTTTTCTGAAATGTCGGTTTTTGTATAAACCCTACTACATACATTGACATAGCAGTAACACGAATTATACAACTTGAGTGTTTGATTGAATTCAGATAGTATTAAATTGCATACTACGTCAGAAAAATTAAGCTGAGATAGAAGAGATAGAAGAAATTGCACTCATATATAAAAACAATTATTACATCGAAAATTTTATATAATTCATGTTTAATTAATTTAATTATCGATCTTTAATTTTTATTGTTTACAATTTACATTTTTACATTTACATTTCTGCATTAATTGATAGTAG